TTTACAGAAACGAACCTAAAGAAGCAAGGAATGCTCCCATTGACTTTCGCTGATCCTGCTGATTACGACAAAATCGACTCTAATGATAGAATTTCCATCATAGGATTGAAAGGTTTTGCTCCAGGAAAGCAGCTTCAAGCAGTCATTAAAAAGAGTGATGGCTCTAAAGTACGTATGTATGTCCGATTTCTCATAGAAGTTTTTGGTTCCTAAAATATCTTAATCGCTTTATTACTTCAGATCGATATTTATCTCAATCACTCATTTAATGATCAACAAATTGAATGGTTCAAGGCGGGATCTGCTTTAAACAGGATGAAAGAAAAATTCGCCTCAAAGTAATGATTTTCCTCGTCGTTCCAGTTGACGTTTCTTCTCTATATACGGAGGCGATGTACAATATTTTGTAAAGCAATTTAGTTTTTTAAAGTATATAATAAAGACTTATAGACTACGTATCTCACTTGGAAGTGTGTTATGAAAAATGTATGAAATTGTGTTGATCAATTCAATATTGTGCATTTACTATTAGGTCTACTGAACTATTTTTCTGTAAAATATGATCTTATCAACGAGTATCCGATAAATAGGAAAGTGGAGTGAACCGTATGGTTTCGAACATGAAAGTTTGCCATACGTCTAATTTCAGCCAAGTGTTTATATGGCAGTTTTTTTTCTGTTAGTTCCTTCCGCCTGTTGTGATCTTAAATGAGTGAAATTAATAGTCCCTATAAATTCCAAAGACCTATGTATGTGTTCCTTTCTTAAGTATGGTTGGCATTTTTTTTTCTACGCTTTTTGTTAGTGGTCGATTTGTGTCATCCAAGGTTCGTTAGGTCTCCCAACGATTTCTCGCCTCATAGTTACTGAGAAGTGTTCCTAGCTGTCGGGATGGAATGTACAGCCTAGGGGTTCATCCCACCGTGGCAGGCTTTCCCAAGCCGAGAAGGAGTCTTGCGTTTCCATCAGGAAGCCTAGCTAAGTGTAAACTAATACCAGGATCCGTCACCGTGCTGGTACCAAACTAGTGGCATAGTGGCAAATCCCCCTCTGATCCACAAGGACGGCAACTTACCGTAGTGACGACCTGGGACGGCAGACTGCGGCCTGGCAAACCTCAGGGTTCTAGCGAGCCGCTGTGGCTAAACCAGCAAAATTCCGAAAAGATGGAGACTATGCTGGGGCCCGCACAATCACTGAAGACGGACCATCCAAGTAAGTAAGAGTAAGTAAGGTTGAGATGAGACGTTTTGGTATTCTCAACGTTACGCTTGTCGTCTGTGCTCAGCAGGCGTCGCCAGATGGCTGTATTCAGATTCGTTAGGAGATCCTGTCTCTTTTATAGCAGAGGGATTACACTCAACTGCTTTAAGTTGTCAGTTCTTTAGTGAGTCACTTAGAGTGGCATCGTTTTTAGTTGCGCACAATTTTTGCAGCTTAGTACTACTCCGCCAATTTTCCTAGCATTCAGTTGTGTCCGTTTAAATCTGTCCTCTCAGGTGTTGCGGTCTGCACGTCTTCGTTCTACATCGGAGATCCATACGTGTTCGTCGAAGTCAACATTTATTGGGTTGGTCATCGTGGTACACCCTCCTCTTCAACTTCATCGTTGCATAGGTCTACACTCAGATCTTTCCAAATATGTCATTTCTAATCCAGTTTCTAGGAACGCTTACCCATTTTGGCAATGCTTATTTGTTTTCACTCCCATTTGCGCTTTATCTATATTCAACATCAAGCTAGCTTAGGAGCGCAAAGGTTCCCGTATGCGGGGAAGGGACTACTATTGTTTTGTCTTCACATTTAAGATATCCAAATGGGTAGAAGGTGCTTCATCCATGAAGCGCCTTATCTCGCAAAGTCCTATGACTACTGTGATTCCCTTTTCTACACATGAAGCACAAAGCTTTCCTTCATAAACATTTCATGCTGAAGTCAGGAAGTTTCTTCCACGTCCTAAAGTTCACAACCAGTCCTATATTCATTGCTTACAGTGATTGTCAACAACAAATTGATATATCCAAGATACCCGCTGATTTCACAGCACTGGAGAACCAACATTTCATGTGAATTCAATACAGTCATCAATTTATTAAACGATAATAACGACTACTGCGTAGATCGTTCTCTCATGCATAACTGGATTCGTGTGTACTTATTTGGATATTTGGAGGGCCGTCAATGGTTGCGCGGGCTCCAGCATAATTTCCATTTTTGCTGAGTTTTCTTGGTTTAGCCGTTGTGGTCCCTGTAGTCCCGAGGGTAGCCTAGCCAAAGCCTGCCTCAAGTCGTCACCACCACAAGCAGTCGCCGTTCGTATGGTACAGAGGGAAATTTGCCACTATGTGACTAGTTTGATACTAGGACGATGATGGATCCAGGTGCTGGTTTACTCTTAGTTGCGATTCCTGGTAGTAACGTTGGTTTCAGCTTGGGAGACCGTGCCAGGGGCATGGATACCCCCGCTGCACATCGCAGCCCGACAGACTTCACAGCTACGATGAGGTGGTAGACCGTTCGTAGTGATCCGTACATATATATATATATATATACATGATGTTTGTGTGTGTGTATTGTGTATGCAGTTTTTTCACTGGCAAACTGAAAACGAGGCAAGGGATGGTAAAGTTGGCGAGATGAATTGGCAATGCATTTATTTTCAATGGTTAAGGTTTGCCTAGAGGGTTCTTTTGATATATCATTTGTATTCATTCCATATTAATTTATTCAATGCAAATGTTTTGAGAGAAGTAGCCCGTGAAGAATCTCTATACTTACTAATTTGCAAAAGAAAAGGACTCTTTTTGAACAATCTATTCTATCGCGAGAAATGCTTGCTGGAGACGAGCCACCGAGAACGTTACCGGTGAAGAGAGCGGAAACATCTTTATTGTACTTGTACACTGAAAGTCGACATTCAAGGACAGCTTTTGCGATGATCTGACTGGGTTATATAACATTTAATGAAGATACCGCGGGCGTGTGCAGCCAAGTGGTAACAATGCCCTTTAATACATACGTGGTCGTTGATTCGATCCCGAGCCCAGGGCTCACCAAGCCGTTCATTTTTCCGGGATGGGCAAATTGATACCGAACTTGTCTCGGTGGATGACAGCAATGACTTGATACATCGACGGGCCACTTCATGTTCTTGCGTAGACCAAATATGCATTCATTCACCTCTAATAATGAAGACAACTGTTTGGCGTATCCCTCGGAATGATCAACGCCGAAAGATTTATCCTTCATCCTTTTTAATGAAGAAAAGCAGGTGTAGCATGGCAATCCAATGTGGTCCCGATTACTGGAACTTTACCATTATTTAGCACCGCATTATTTATTTCACCGTACAAAATCTTCAGATCATGGGATATGGTAGGACAGTGTTAACCTTTCTTTGAACTGTTGTAAAACCATTGTAGTATAATGACTGCCAGAATAAGGATGGCGAGCTGCACCTGAAATAAGAACAAAAGTAGGATAGAGATAACCCTGCACATAAGAAAGGTATTTTTCTTCACTTACCGGTTGATTTTTTATCGTGTTCACTGTTCTGGCTATTAAGGAATACGACGTGTGCGATCCTGGTTTAGGGGCTTGTTGTAGTTCTCTGAATTTGTCCCTTGATTTGTAATTGCTGTGATCCTCTTGTTCTTCATGCTTTTCAGCATCCACTTTTTCAGGTGAACTAAATATAGCAGTCCATTGTTGGCAAAACCTGGCACAGTGACGACATTGTTATGAAAAATTTGTCCATTATAAATGACGTTTTAAATGACTCACCTACTCGCGGTTTCAACCGGTTGGGCCGTATTTATTTGTGCGCTAGACGGTCCGAGCAGATCATTCAGCCAGCTAAACAGTTTCGGATGAGGTCATTCAACTTCCCATCAAACATCACAAAGGGTAATGGATAAAGTACTCGATGTCCATCGATCTCCGCGGGATTCGTCATGCATTCGACTTCATTAAGCATCGTATGAAAGGTGATTGAATGCATATCTGACCCTTACAGTGACTCACGGAGGCTTACCGATGTATCGAGCCAGTGCTGGCATCCTCCCAGACAAGCCTGGTACCAATTTGTCGACTCCGGAGAGATGGGAGACTTGGTGGGAGGTCATGGGCGCGGGTATCGATTCCACGTGTGTGTTGCAGGGTTCCTCCGACCACTGAGCCACATGCGCCCTTTTCCTGGTATGGATTTAAAAACTTAACAGTCAATGGCTAGTCGTTTCGTTGAAAATTTGCTACAAAACCGTGACAATGTCTTCTCGATTATCAGCGAATTAGAGTTCGAAGGACCGGATACATCGATGTCTCTATTCATAACTTGTAAGGCTCCTGCTGAATATAGTGTTAACAATAATCTAGCAAAAACTTGCTGACGAGTCTTGTGGGACTTCTTCTGGCAGATCGTTAACTATGAACTCTTCATCACTATTTTTTGAATCTCTGAATACGTCGTCGCCTCGATCTGTCATCTGTAGTTAAACAAGCCTTGAACATTATATGGAATTAACCCCTTTCGTAAGATGTTAGGCTATTATGCTAAATGTATTTGTCACCATAGCTGTGTTTTTGCATATTGTGGCACCTTTTTTCATCGTTTATCTGCCCTCAAAATGGTTTTGTAGACTATGAATGAGCGAATAGAGGACTGCTTATCATTGTTGAGTGGGCTAGCATAATCCAGCCATGGTTCGAAATAATCTATGGTTCAATGAAGATGTTACTTGTGAACTGTTTGACAGTTTTCGAGAATACCTTCATCCTCCGCTTGCGTTTTATCATTCTCTGTCGCCTGACTTCTTGCTTATGTTTGGTGTGATCTATCGGCACTGGAATATGCCATCCCGAATAAAGCAAAGCTATTTCAACAAAGCAAAACACAAATACGTTATGTGTTGTTCATATTTTAGCGAAACCTTCGCACAGTCGTCATCGACTCATGCTTTCCCTATGTCTCAGGCAGAATTAGCAACTAAATGTGTCAATTCGCTGGCTCGAATGGGTAACCTTCATAGGTAAGGGCGTGGCATATGGTTCCTAACCACTTTATCACGCATATATTGTGTTGGTACATAAATGTTAGAGCACTCGGTAGCTGAGCAATAGAATTAGTATTTTATATTCCCGAACAAAATGAAGTGGGTCAGAGTTTTGTCAATCCCGGATACGCTGATTCAAAAAGTTTTCGCCGAATAAAGTTCAGCGAGAGGTAGAGTCACTCGTTCTGCAAGCCAAATCGTCTCTTCATTTACGTTCAGTGTTGTGTGCTCCAAATGGGTTGTTCCGCGCTTATCAGCAGCTCCACATGGCTTGTCTCGGCTTACTACCACAACCAATACGTTTTTTGCATTGTTCGGTGTATTAATCGACTGGTAGGTGATTTTTGACAGATACAAGAGCCAGGTAATCGATAATGCTGATAAATTCCAAAAATTTTCGGCATTTTTCTAAGTATAACAGCAAATCGATAGTATATCACATTACAGAATACTGAATGGCTTTACTTTTCATACGAAGGGTTCACCAGAAAAGTAAAGGAGAAAAAGCTGTTACGAGAATAGCATTCATGAGAGACTCGCTGTTCATCCATGCATTCGAAAACTGCGATCGCCTCGCCACTAGATGACTATTGGTGTCACCGTGATGTACACAACTGAATCTTTAGCTATGGTGTAGATTCAATGATGAATTGACAGTAGAATTACTAGAGCACTGTATCGACTCACAACCGATATCCAATCTCTCCTTCTCATTTTTGCCATCCATTCTGAAACAAAAGGGAAGCTTGAGTACAGACTCGATTCGACCGAGCATAGAGGAAGCTTCGTGAAAGCAATGCACCTGACCGCTTGCGAAATAGCTCGAGTGGTAACTGCGTGCACCGTGCTTTACTTTCCAAATCACTGTTATTGTTATTGACTGTTTTCGCAGATCATCATCCCCATCATGATTTCGATGCCAATTCAATACTCATTCATTGACCCGGATGGTGTAGTGGTGAAGTGCGCTGCTCCCCGGTAAGGACAACAGCGCGTGTTCGTTCTCCACTGCATACACCTGTGGTCCGGAGTTTTGCAAATATCTCAGCATTTCATACGAATCATTCATTTTATTTCTATTTCGTATGATTCGTCATCACAGGTCATCACATCACAGGACACGTCCACTGTGCGGATCCCAGCACTTGCATTCGATTCGTTTTCCTCGCATTCGTCGTCCAAAATGGTCTACGAAAATTTCACATGTTGATTCGGTTGCCGTTTGAGGATTCCGTCTTCTTTACGATTATCATAGCTTGCAATCTTGGAGATAGCAGAGCTAAGCTATTCCTACGTGAGTTGTAGGAGAACTTTGGGAGAGGGTCGAAGCAGAACGGTGCTTTCTAGTTGACTGCGCCACTAACCACTGCACTACCTTCCCACCCTTCATCTCCTCTTTCTAATAATCATATAGAAGTTCTACTAAAGATGTTAAACGGTACAAAAACATCTGCGAAGAAGGGATCCTTGTAAAAATGAGTTGTTGTTATTAAATGTTATTATGTGGTGGACTCATAATGGTCTAGAGTTGATTATATTTATTGATTTCTCAACATGCATCACTGCTTAAATCCGTTTAACACTGATAACTCTAGAAAACACTAACGAGTACTTAATTTACCAAGGGCAGAGAACTTTAGATGAGCTACATTTTTCGGGAAGAAGGGGAGAGTAGTGTTTGAGAAGGCTGTAATTGAAGGGATAATTTTACTGAAACCTACGGGATAGTTTCTCTTACTATGAGAAGTGATTCAATTCGTTTGCGCCAGCCTCCTGCGTTATGTGCAGTCTTTCTAGCGGAAAAAGCAATAAATATTGGACTCTGCTCTTTGTTTTATACGAGAAGCTTCCTTTATGAAACTGTTAACACAAATCTTTATCGGAGTGGTGAGAAGTGAAATGGAGTAGAAGAAGGTGCAGCGGCGGCGGCGGTAGTGGTGGCGAAGGTGGTTGGTCACGACAGCAGAAGAAGGGCGATGGTGCGTTGTGGCCGGAGCAGGAACGACGTGCGCTTCATGTACGACGGCCCGTTGCTCGACATCAGCATGCCCTTCTTCTTGTCCTTCGTCGATTCGGACTGTGTGCTGAAATAAGATGAGGTAGTTCGTTGTCACCATAGCAGTAAACGAGAAGCGAACTGTTGACAACAGCGACCGCGTACAACTACAACTCTGCGGCATTGTTTCACTCATTTACACTACCAAAAAGGGAGGCCGTCTAGTGAAGTGTTTAGAGGTGCCCTGCAATACGCACTGGATCGATCGTTGGTTTGATCCGGCGCCCAGGTGCCAAACCTTTCATCCCTCTGAGGTTGGTAAATTCATTTTACAAGGTAGGTGTACGTTCACTCCCCTCTACGACGCTTGGTATGGAGTCGAGTGCATGGTGGATCTATGAGAAGCGGGTAAATACGGAGGACTTTATTCTTTGTCCTTTTATTAACAAAAATAACGTTTACACGGAATCGCCCTCCCTCATATTTTCAACGTGTAGGTCAGCTTTGTCCATCTTTGGTTGTAGTAACAATGAAAAAGACTAATACAGGAAGGCAAAGTCCTGAGCATACTGCTTTCCTGTACCCAACACCGTTCACTAAATGTACGTTTTTCTTCTGAAGGCGAAACGAATCAGTATTCTAATAAAACATAGCGCTTAAGGGTTCAAAAAGAGCCCATTTCGTGTCATCATAAAAAAGTACTGCGACGAATCGAAATCGTTTGCAAACTGTGAAGTCGAAATCGGAAGCATAGCGTGATCCCAGCGGAAATTCCGATTTCGAACCACGTCACTGGAATGCTAAAAAGAAGAGAGGGAGAGATTAGTGATTTGAATTGGCAATGCTCTTTATATTCCATGCGAAATCTACTGTAGGAAAGAGCGCTTGCATTTTGTTCTGAGTGATCAAACAATGTCTATTAACTGCGTAACTGCGGACTTTGAATGGGATTAAAATTGCTTCAGTAATTAAAATGATCATCTCCTAAAGGCTGTACATGGTATAATTCTACTTCCTTTATGTTTGAAGGCTTCCAAACTCTGGCACCAGAAATATTGGATGGACTGAACTCATTTTTTCATGATGCGTAGTAGGAGTAGTGATGCACAACCATCCGATTATACAATGCTTTTTGGTCTCATCCACGTCTATATCCGTCCCTCTTACCAAGAGTTGGAATAGAGACAGGAATTAATTTAAAGTCCTGTGGTCTTCCGTTTGGCTGGCTTTCTTGGGTAATCAAGCCACCCATCCTTCCTGGGTGTGCGAACTTATAACACAGTTATCGGAGAAGATAAAAGCACTGGCTTGATACTCCACATGACGTATTTTAATCAGTGGGAAGCGATTTTAAAGATTAGATTTCTGTTTTTGCTGTTTCTTTTGTTATTAACGTATTAAAAGTAGCTCACCTTGAAGAAGCTGCCAGTAAAATACACATAATGAGAACGAGGAGTAGGCGCGGCCGCGCCATATCCTGGAATAATGTGCTGGTTAGGTTGACGCTTGTGATACTGCAAAAATTAAAAAAGCATGAAGAATTAAAATCATGGGAGTTCTACGAGATTTGACAACGACAAAGTGGAGGTGCGGGCGTGCTTTTGTTACACAATGCTGAGCAGAGAATAGAAATATAGTGGAGATAAATACTCGAGGGTTTTACGCGGAATCAGATGATGAAAAGCGGAAGTGGATACAATAAGTAATGGGATGTTTTTTTAGAGTCATGGTAGTGGAGTAGTAACGAAGTTTCGAAAAGAAATTTCTACTACCATAAAGATGAAGACACTCCTAACCGTCTACCGCCTCATCGTGGCTGAGAGGTGTTCCTGGGTATAGCGCTGCGATGTACAGCGTAGAGATTCGTTTCCTCGGCAGGTCTCCTAAGCTAAGAAGTCCGGCGTTTCCATCAGGAAGCCTAGCTGAGAGTAAACGAATACCAGGATTCGCCACCGTTCTGGTATCAAAGTCGCATGGTGGTAAATCTCCCTCTGATCCACAAAGGGTGCGGCTTCCTGTGGTGGTGAAGACCTAGAGCAGACTTTGACCAGGCTGACCTCGGGATACCAGGCAACCATAATGGCTTAACCAACAAATTCTCCGAAAATGGTGATTATGCTGGGGTCCGTACAACCACTGAGGACGTACCGTTCAAATATCAAGTAAGTAAAGATGATTATTACACTCTACCTCTTGAGAATTCCGCTTTGGACACTTTGCCTATTTCCTTCACAAGCAGCTGGAGAGAAGAAAACTGTTGAACGACAATTTCATTTGTTGAAATTCTTTAACTTTGGAGCGATTTTTAGCACATTAGTGACCTAGTATGATTAGGCATTGTGTCTGCCTCAACTTTTATCGAAGCATATCTGAATAGGAAATCCATTTTGAAAAAAAACACTCAGGAGGGTCTACTTATGGGCCGAAGTGGATACGAGTGTCGGTTTGATGTGAGTTATTTAATCCATTCATATACACCTTGTATGATTTATCGCCTCATTGTATCTATAGGCACTCTTCTATTTCTCCTATATCTCCCTCCTTCTATCTCCCTCCTATGTCTATATCTCCTCTGTATCTATAGGAGCTTCGGACTACGGTGTACAGCGGAGGTCCTTCTATCCCACATTATTGGAAAGAGTGCAAAATTCTCATCCACATATCTAGCTAAGAGTAACTTTATGGTAGGAGTGGCCGTCTTCTAAGAAACCCAGTTCCCAAATGACGAACTTCCCACCAACCTGCATAGGTCGATGATCATCTGGGAACGCTCGAGCACTACAGCCTTTAGACTCAGGGGGTAAAAATCTTGCTGTACCGAAGAAAGCGGTTATATTCTAATGTACCGCCAAAGTGGCATATCTCAGCTCAAAATGGACGTTTTTAATTTGGATAATAACCATTGAATTGCCGAATGAGGAAACGTCGTTCAAGCGGTCTTTTGCTTCAAAGGAGTTGACTCGATGCTACTGCGAAAAGGCACATCCGAAGAACGGATGGCTGTCGACAATCGAAACAGATCATCTCAACTCTGAGGAACGAGTGCGCCGAAGCGTTAGCCGAATAAAAGTCTTCTGACAAATTCATGTTAGCTTATCAATGAATCAATACATAGAAACAATAGAATCTACATATTTTTGCAAGTGAAAGACAAGCTTATGTGTTTCGGCTGTAAAACCTCTGGTGTTCGATAAAGTCGGCAAAGGCAGTTTTCGTCCCAGCTTGGTTTTTGAAGGATTTCTCGTACAGGAAGCTATTGAGATGCTTGAAGAAATTATATTCGATAGTCGAGAGGTTCAACGAGGATGGTGGAGGAGGCAGACTTTCATAGCTCTGTTCGTTCAACTACTGGATTGTCGTTAGTGCTACGTGTGGCCGCGCATTTGGTGAAGGGGGGATTGATCCTCTTCTTTTCACCAAGTCCTGGTGCAGCCTTTAAATTCCTGATGCATTTCGTCGGAACAACACTGAATGCTCTTCACCACCGTGATCATCCGACGCTGATTCAGCGGGCGGACCACCAGGCGATAACCATGGGATTTTTAGGCTTTAGGTTTTGGTCTGCTGTATAGCTTCACTGCAGTTCAGCCACGAAGCCGATTGTCGTTAGTTGTCGTAAGTAATCCAATTCTCAGTGATCATCACAGTGCAGTTTCGAAATGGGCTGTTCTGCTTGCGCCAAAGAGACGCCGACGACACCTCAAGACGGCGATTTCTCTGATTGTCATTCAATTCGTGCGCACCCATTTGTCGAACTTTCTCGAATTTCAGTTTTTCTTTACATGATCCGAAAAAACTTGGATGTGTACATCTAGTTCTTCTGCAGGTCTTGAACAGCAGAAGGATGTCGGCGATCTCTCTATCTTCAAGGACGGATTCTCCACGACGAAATCTTCTAAACTTCGGTCGTGATGTATGTTTGTGAGCACTTCTCCGGCTCTGTATCACTTTAATGTTTCGAGCCGTTTGCACTGGATTTAATCTGGATTTGAATTCCTGGAAGTATGGAGCGGGAGCAGCGTAGTGGTTAGAGATGCGATGGATCAAGAAGCAAATACACTAGTTCGATTCCCGCCCCAACGCTCTCATTCAATACACGTGGCAAATCCTTAGCCCAGCTATCTCCAACACCACTGGAAGGAGAATCGACTCGACTAGCATTTTGCGATATCCTTAAAGGAAGACGGATTTCTCAAACAGAAACAAAAAGCGAATTCTTCGAAGACTATTGTGGATAACGAACACGAGGAAAACGAATCTAATGGAAGGAGCACTGGGATCTGCACAATAGATGTTATGACGGTTCATGTAAAAAGTGCAAAAAAACCATACAATCTAGTCTTTAAAATCCGTTAAAAATATAAACTTAGGTTATAATTCGATTACGCCGCGTGGGAGTGCATGAAATAATACTTGCCCTTACATATAATGAAACATTCGAAAAAAGAGACCAGTCGAGCACTTATGTTAGAATATGTGGACTTACCTTTTAGGCATAATTTATCGTTATTTCCCTGTTAGTAATAACTAGCGAGACTAGAACTAGTTTAAAAAGAATAGGCAGTAAATAAAACGGTCAACGTTGTGATTATAACTGCTGCTTCAGCTTAACTGGATTCGTTGCCGATTTGGGCTCTCCAGATCAATCTCGCTGACGGGTGATTGTTGATGGCAAAATGATCGTTGGAACTAGCAGATGAGAGACAGGCGAAACGAAGGACCCGCATGATGTTGTGGTGAACGCGTTAGTCCCCGGAAAGGACAATAGTGCGTTCGTTCTCCACCGCAGACACCTGCTGTCCGGAGTTTTGCATATATCTCAGCATTATTACGGTTATATTTCACAGGTAATACCCAACCGCGAAAAGAATTGTGGTAACCAGCAAATAAAAAGTTAAATTTAAGTTTTATTATTCAATGAAGGAGACTTTCCATAGTTGTTAAAACAATATTTCTTGACTCTTTCTTAACAGAAACGTGCTGTGATCGTGTCAGAAGCCGATTAGTGGCAGACTGCCGTGGACCTGGTACCTTCCAAGCAAACTGTTTCGGGTTCCATGAGTGTTCGGTATCTCAACCTGTTGTGAAAACAAATCATAAGTTATCTCCTGAATCATATTCACTTAGCGAATTTTAAACGAAGGTATACTTAATCTTACTGTGAACCGGTTTAAAACAAGGCATCTCAAGTAGTCAACTTTTTCAACTTAGTAGGTATTGTAATAGTTTTAAACATGGGTGCGGAGGCGGATGAGAGTCTGAATTCCAACGAAGTCTAGCCGTGCTCGCTGATGCATGTTATTCTACAGAATTTCCAATTCACCATCCTATCCAATTATTCGTACTGCGAGTCTAAAATGTTGCATACCAACAGCGTTTTGATAATTAGTTCGGATTCGCTCATTCGCTGTTTCTATTCATGGATTCAGTGATAAACCTATGCTATGGCAACCATTTTGGTTTGTGTTCAGCTTGCTAGCTTCGCCGTCCTGTGACATTTTTTGTAGAAGAAGTAGCTATTCGTCAGCTCCTAAGCGTTTATTGGTGATAAATACGAAAACAGATGTGAAAAAAGTGGCTTCTCAGTAGAAACTAGTGATTTCTGTGCGGAATAATCTCTTAAAGGAGGTAGAAACCATGTAAAAAAATACCGACAGCAGTAAAGCTGAAACAAAAGAAAAGTGTTCGAGGACGGGGCGGAGCGCGGACTTCGAAAGTTGCTTGATTCTGAAAGTGAGCTTCAGCATTTCGAGTTAGCGGTCTGCTGTAGCACTAGGCATGTTACCAGCTAACATTCTGGTTCTTATAGCATGTTCTACTTTTTTCGCCTTCTTTAGAGGAAGAAATCTACAAAATTCGACCACTGCAAACCAGTTAGGAGGTAGAGCATGTGGTGACGGACCATGTAGCTTTTCTGATAAATGAGGGCACATCAAATTAACAATTGGCCAAATGAGCTATGATGCTTCCAACTCAATTAAGTTGTGCCTCGTATTGTCTTTTTGTTCACAGTAAGGCTTTACACGCAGGAATAATCTGGCTTGGGCAAGTGGTGCTCTTTCAAGTTTCATTAATAGTGGAGAGTGGATTGGTTAGAACGATTACGTAAGCATTTATAATGGTAAACTGAGTAGTCAAAGCGGACATACAGCAGAAAAAGAATGCCATTTACATTGATGCGCCAAAGCAGCAAAGTTCGTCGGGCAACAAGCGGTAGTAATATCTACGGGTGAAGAGCGAATTTTCAACCTTGTAACAAGGTTCCTTTCGATGCTCAAGTGGTCATTGGTACTTTCCCACGCTCTGGGCTCACCAATCCTTTCATCTATGCGTAGGCGGTAGATTGAAACCAGATTTATCTGGAAGCATAAGAAACACTGCTTTAATACATCGATGAGGCGTAGACAAATTACTGTATGTATGAGCTAAATATGCATTCATTCGTTCTTGCGATGCTTAATGGTGTCGAATGAATGCCACATTATAGATAGGTTCCGTGCAAGTATTGAAAAAATATTTTATATTTCATTCACAGGATGGAGTTCAAGTGTTTCAATAGAAAGCCGACTAAGAGGACGAAAATAACGAAGCAAATTTTGCCGTTAATTATGTACAGAACGGTGTGTTGTATGCAATATACAGTATTGTATACATTACATATTCCATGCTGCATGAAAATGGTGCGTGTGGCGCAGCGGTCGGAGGCGCCCTGCAGCACACACGTGGAATCGATTCCCACGTCCATGGCTTCCATCTCTCCGGGGTCGGCGAATTTTTATCAGACCTGTCTAGGAGGATAGCAGCACTGGCTTGATGCATCGGTAGGCCACCGCGAGCCATTGTGAAGGCCAGATATGCATTCAATAACCTCCGAACGATGCTTAATGAAGTCGAATGCATGGCATATCCCTCAGGGTTTGATCAATTCTGAAAGCTTTATCTTTTATCCTTTATGCTGTATGAATATATACAATACTGTCCACTGCAAAAATACCTACTATATATCAACTTTTTATTTGCTGCCTTTTACGTTTCTTCACGACTGTGTATTATGTGTGATAGAACCACAATGATCCTGAGATATTTGCGAAATCCGCACCACAGGTGCTTGCGGTGGGGATTGAACTCGCTATTACCGATAATAGTAATAGTAATCCTCTATCCCTACCGCAAACACCTGCGGTGCGGAGTTTCTCAAATAACTTAGGACCACTACTTGCTATTTGTTTTGAATTCGACAAAGCACTTCAGCACCAATCACACTCTCCGTGTGTGGAGCGTATGACCTACAGAATACACATGCTTCGCTTTAAACTCGAAAGTGAAACGCTATTCTACAAAATCAATTCAGATAAATCTTTAAATGAGAAGGATTCACCAACGTCAGTAACCCATAAGAGTACAAATTGGTGCTAACGACACTGCTTTTCAGGCGATTTTTCTCTTTCGCTTCGCTTTGAGACGATGAAAAAGAGAGAGGGACTTACAAGTTTGTCATCGACGTAGTGCTCAAATATGATGACGTGTTACAAAGAATACTGTGGAAAGCCTGCGCATAAAAAAGCGACTGCGGCTGATCATGCTGGAAATCGTCAAAAGAAGAGGGCGAATGAGCTTGAACCTCAACAGCAACCTTTTTGTGATTGTAAGTCCACTCGTCGCGCTTTCAAGAAAGCGGAAATGTTCCTTATGAAAAACACACAGAAAGATCAGTCGAAGAAGACTATAATATAAGAGTGAAAATGAGAAGTAACGTCCAGATTACCAGACGACACGATCTGTTGAGCGAGTTAAATGCCGACACCATCACGTCAGCGTTTCGCTGCATGACACTTAGCGGAAGACACAAACAGCTCGGAATTTCGTTAGAAACGAGCTCGTCCATGGGGTCCACTATAGTGGATTTGTAATAGAAGCGCTAGTGAGATGTTTTTGGACGTGGTCTGATCTGACGATCTTGTCCAAAAGCCCGTTGGTACATCTTATTCACATCACAGCTGTTCAAAACTACCGCTTTCAACACCAAGGAATAGAGATCCGTTATATTGTACATATTCCTTATGAAAATTAAGAGCAGCCATGGATTACCATGAGTTGTTCCTCATTGTTAGCCGTTTAAGAATACAGCATGTTCTGGGAGTTCCAGAATGAGAAATGAGAAATACTCCACTTCGTCTCGTCCCCCAGCAAAATTTATTCGCTCAATCAAGGACACGAGTAGCGTTATATGTTTTCGATGGCGCCATTTTCAAACTGTTCTGGTGAGGATGTAGACAGCAGTAACTCTCAGCGGTCCTGCGTAGCATAGGTTTACTATTAACACAGATTTCACAAATGAAGTTCGAACCTCTTCTTAGTTTTAGAAATCTTGTTGGATGATCAAAATCAGCTGCACACTACAGTTCGACATCCACAAAGGCGATCAGCTGCGATGGCGCGATGAATCGGGATTGCTAACTCTCATTCTATCCGTTTTCATCTTGAAAATTCTTGGGTACTTGCACGTTTGTTGAAATTTTAGAAAAAATAGGAGAATCAGGGAAATAAGTGGGCGATATGTTAATGCCGTTTTATTATAAATTGTTGTACAACTAGGTGAAGAATTGTTGAAGAGAACGTACAGCTGTGACCAGATGGCGGCATTTCAGTTTCAGTTGAATGCACCGCAGACAGACACAGACAAACGGGAGCATCGGCTAGGGATGTCCAGCGAAATGGCAACTCTCTAGGTAGAGTCTCCATTTTCCGTATCAAATTTCAGCATTAATGCTTTTCCTGGAGGTCAAAACAAGTCGTCTTTTCACAAGAAGATCACTCATGATTGAGAGATTATCGTACTCTTTGGTTGTTACGAAATATAACTTCAATGATACTGACATATTTGCAAAACTCCGGACCGCAGGTGTATGCGGAGGGGAACGAACGTGCTGTTGTCCTTTCCGGGGAGTAACGAGTTAACCACCGCACCATGCAGGTTCTTCGTTTCACCTGTCTCTCAGCTACAGCATCACTGAAGTTATATTTCGCAATATACCCTGCCATTAAAAAGAGTAGGCAGTAAATAAAACAGTTAAGATTGTTAAGAAATAATTCCTCAACTAAAAGGAAATAACTTGTATTAAGAAAAGTTTCCACTCCTACGACAGAAGCGGCTCATCCTTACGGCTATGATGTTAAAACTATCTCCAATTCGGCGCTGCGTGGAACAAATGTATTCCTGAATGCCGAAATAGCTATTCGATGAATCCATTGCATGACAGTTGAACGTCTTGGAGAAACTGTGTAATGGGAAGTGCAAGAGTTAGTCATGTCCCTCCTTATCTCCTCTCTCTATCTCTTTCTCTCTCTCCCATCAATATAGAGATTTTTGAGAACTCTTTCAAAAAATTTGTTTCCTTTGAAATATGAAATATTTTCTTTAAAAAAATATTTGAGGGAAGACAGAGGCATGCTTCTTAGAAAGTGTTGTTCTTAGACTTTTTCTCACTGCTAATAAACGCCATAGCAATAGTACGTAGAACGATAACTCAAGCCTTTCCCACCAAGAATGGTTCCGAAAGGTCTTTTGAAGACAATTATTTACTTGTTTTTTAAGATTTTATTTTAATGTACCTGACCTATTATCACATAGAGTGTAGATCCCAGCAGTTCTTTTATTATGTTCGTTGTGTCGCATTCGTCATTCATGGTTTTCGGATATCCGTTCTGATTCGACTGCCACATGAAAACTTTGTCTTGGTCATGAAACCGTTGTTACAGCTTTTATGGATCGAAGCGAGATCTTGCCAGACGAGTCTGGTCGCAATTTCACAATCTCGAAGAGCTCGGGAACTTGATTGTCCGTGCTGGAGTCAAACCAGCGAGCGTGCATGTATTGCTCAGAATTTTTGGCCACTGCCGATCTCAGTCCCAAGTATTTTCCGTAAGGCTAACTTCCTAACTCCTCAAGTTTTTTAGCACTCGAAAAATTTTTGTCTAAAAATTCACTTGAAAAGCCAACATCACTCAGTATGACACCTCAGTGGGTTGGGACCTATGCCGTATTCCTAACAGATTGTTTAAGGAAGTCGATCTGATGATTGTCTCTTAGTGATTATTTTTTTTTATAATCTTTTATAACATCTTCGAATTCACTAAACACCTTTCCGGAAAAGTGGAAATGTTTTAGCGCTATAACCATAATTTCTAAAAGTTGTTAAGTTTTGCTGACATCTCATAAGAGACGAGTTACCAAAACTGTTAAGTTTTCAAACAACATCTTTTATATATCTAGGGCTATACCCTAGATACCTCTTTTATGGATTTTTTTGTTTCTGGACAATAAATAAATTTTTTTGTTAGATAAGGTCTTTAGGGATTGAAAGCGTCACAGAATTATAGGAGGTACTTTGATGCATCGTTGTAGTGGCTCACGTGGCATGTATGGTACGATTTACCATGTTTTACTATGGTCCACTATTGCTCTCAGCACCGTTTTTCAGTTCATATTTTCTCTACCAGGGCGCCTGTGGTGCAGTGGTTGGAGGCGCCACTGCGACACACACGTGGAATAGATCCCCGTGCTCATGGACCACCAAGCCTTCAGACTCTCCGGGGTCAGCAAATTGGTGCCAAACTTCTCTGGGAGGATAGCATCACTGATTCGATACATCGGCAGACCACCGTGAGTCATTGTAAAGGCTAAATATGCATTCGATCACCTCCAACGATACTTAATGAAGTCGAATGCATGGCGCAACCCTCAGGGATTGATCAACGCCGAGAGCTTTTTTATCCCTTTATTTTGCCCACCATTGTTTATCATAGCGATTGAATTGGTGGAACAGTCAATAACCAGCCAACTTACCGACCGCTGAACTCATTCTAGAAAAGTTTTTTTGTAATGCGTTAAATACGCATAGTCTTCTATGGGACCCACTTGACAGGGCATGTGTGCACGAGAAGATAACTACTGAGTACAAAGAATTTGGTAAAAAGATCTGTGTAACGAAGTAAACACTTGGGAATTATATGCATTGGATACAGTGCGCATCGGCGGCTTTGCTCCCTACACGTGCATTGCATACAACGCCTTTCGGACGTTATGCATCATTGACCAAGCATAATATTCGATCTGCATTACAAAACTCAAAAAATTCTAGGCGAATTGCACATTGTTCACTGAATCGGTTGTTAGGTTGAAATTGTGCATCTTATAAGCTTGTTTTTTAAGTTCTATTTCTCAATATTTTGAGCTATCCAACTGCTTTTGCTTCATCGCCAGTTTTCTCCACTGACCAGCCGAAAGCTCTTGTGATTCTTCATCTCATTTAATTGCAATGAACAAGTAGACCAGTGCAGATGGCCTCAAAAATCAAGAAAAGAAAATGAATACTAAGTAGGAGATTGGCAAAGTCTTTCGTGTGTGTGCTATAAAAGGCCACTATCGCCCTCATCACTCAATATTTGTCGACTCATGAGAAAGAACCGTGAAGTAAGTCTTTGACTAAAGGATCAAACAATAGTGGTCTATTTTAGATGACCGTCTTATTTACGAAGTAGCTATGTTCCTTCTTCCAGTTTAACTGATTCAAATGAGAGACGAATACCGCTTATCTGCACCACTCGAAGACCAGGAACAAACGAACGGAACGAACATAAGGGGCTTCTTACTATATGATATTTCTTAGCATTTCTGGAGCATAAAGATTGCTCTAAAAGCAGGCAAATTCGTAAGAGTCTTGTGAGTTCTCTGTGAGTAATCCATCACTATAACTGGTAAAAGGAACGAAGTTCCATACGATAAGTAGTGCTTTCCGTTCTGTTTGAGCTCGTAGAGTACACTGCTGACCCACTGTGGAATGAAAACAGCGGGAACTTTAGTGGTACTCACTTGATTTAGTCGAAGGCTGACGAAATCATAGACGATACAGGTGATATCATTGAGACACCACTGTTTTGAGCAGAAGAGTACTAACTACTATCTCATTGACTTCTACGATAACTGATGGAAAACTCATCTGTTAAAGAAGGCCCGATATCGCTTCGCGCTATCGGTATACGTGCTTGCGGCGAGTATAAATTAATCGGACGTAGGATCCCATCTACGTATACGAGGTGGTGCAAAAATCACTACGGTTCTTGTTCTTTTAGATTTTACGGCAGGAAGTATGGAGTGAGATGAAGCGGCCATAAACATTTTTTAAACTCGAATAAGCATCAGAAGGTGACAATGATGGGTTTTGGGCTTTCGACAGATAGAAGTCTCTAGTAAAACATCTTAAATTTTGGCAAAACATGGCACTTTTGGGACACTTTGACTAGTTCCAATGTGGAACCTTTGACAACGAAACCCTTGCGAAAAAATCCGTCGAGCTGCTTGGCACATCCGGAACCTCAGGATTTTAAAATGTTGGGGTAAATGGACTTGTATCTTGTTAACAAAATAAGTTTACCCCAATGGTTTCAATTCTTAATGCAGAGGTGAGTTCGAGCAAGATTATAGCTTTCTAAAGTTGCCGTTAAAAACCTGGCATTCGTCCCTCCAACTAGAGGCTTGCATAGTACAGGGTATGGGGACAAACCTGTTTGCCTCACAACGAGCATGCAACTCAGCACTTTTCTTTCCAGGTCGCTTAAAAGCTTTTCTTTCTTGAACGGCCAAAACGTTTCTGTTTCATACGTAGCAGCAAATTAAAAATTCCAGTCGTTGTTGGCAGAATAGTGAACGTGATGATCGAGAAGCGGAAGTGAATGTCATGACGGGAAACACGCAAGAAGTGCAAACTGCCTCGTAGAAGCTCGTAGACTTTTAGAAGAGCTCGTAGAAGTAGTTTTCTGAGAATCAGTTCCAATTCGAGACAGCAAGCGTTGAATCAAAGTGGATCGCATGTTAGAAAAGCCGGTTTTCCACAGCAGTGCTTTCTGTCTTTCTTTCCAAAGTTGCTGGTCTCAACGAATTATTGTTGTTACAATTTGATGCTGGATTCGTATTCTATGAACCTGGAAATTTTGAAATGCTCGATTAGCTTAAAAGGCGCCATACATTCCTCACAGTAGCAATGTGAGTCATAGCTCATGTGTATTTTTTATAATATTTATATACTCTAGGTGGCGAGGGAGACACACTGGTTAGAGTGCCATGCGAAACACAATTTCTGCTTCGGACCTGCCCTAAGATTATCATGCCTGTGTGCTCTGTAAATTAGAACAAAACTTGTGCGAGGAAAGATGCCTCTGATCAACAAAAGCGGGTAATCACAAGGGACTCTATCAGAACTTTTCCAGAAATCCACGGAAGAGCAATTTTACTGACATCCTGTCACGTTCATGAAGGAAGTCACAGTTCTCAAGCAGCGATAGAATTGACGTGCAACTTCAAAAACCTCTGCGGATGTCAAATGCGAGATGACAACCTGAGTGAAGAACTTCTGGAATCTACATACTATCCGAATTCGCGTAAACAAAAGTAAATAAATGAAAAAATGTGCACGTCTGTCCTCGCATCCGTCATGAATCATCTGCGGTCTCGCTAACTATCGCTTAACGCGAGCAAGTACCAACACAGCTCGCCTTCTGTGTAGCTTCACATTTTTTGCACTTTTGTATCTAGTTGTACTAATCCATCTACACATGTGATAGTGCGTGACTATTCCATCTACACATATGATAGTGTGTGATGAGTAAATCCTGAAGTAAATTTTGAAAAATATGCGCTATTGTAAACGTGCCAAGGAGCGTTTTCCTACGTCACCAACTTCGGGACTCGAGTAGCTTTTCGATTTACCGGTAGAACAACTTTTCCCATGACTTCTAAATTCATATTATGCACGTTGAGTCCTACAATCAAAACTTTCTACAGTGCTTCCACTCTTATTTATATCCTAATTCGACAAAATGAATATGAATTGCTGGACTGAAGAAGTACTGCTGACGGAATATTTATGCCTCGTTGATACAAAATAATTAACGAAACAATCAAGTTATAAGAAGAATTCTCTTTATGAAATCCTTAGAAAAAAAAGTACCTCTTCAACACATAAAGCTTCAAGATTTCCTTAAGTGTAGACGATTTCCTTAAGCTCTTAAATAAGCAAGCACCGTCCATGAATCTCAAATAGGACTCACTCCGACTTACTCGGTCCTGACCTTCTTGTTTGGTAATAATTCTTAAGCGATAAAGTTTATTCCATCATTTTGAAGACAACACGATTCCTACGAAGTATTTAGCGCATTGGGGATTTATTTTTGTAGGAAGTATTCTCATCTTAAGCAATTATGTGCAGGATGTGCAAGACAGTCAACAGAGCAATTCTCACTCGGGAAAAAACGAAAGAAGAGAGTAACCTGGATGAGACGGTGATTAAAGAACCGGTAACGGAACCGTGAAGCAGATGCTGTCTGTGCCCTAAGGTTTACTGAATATGGAGAAAGTAAATTCTTTTTAAATATTCTAACACCGTCATTCTGTCGCCACGTCATCAGGTTACGTCCTTGCTGAAACTTAGACGCCAATGCTTCTTCTTTCCGCGCTTGCTCTTGTCCCTCAGTGCACTTCTGGGGAATGCGGACGTACTTTTGAGAGCAAGTCTAGGCACCCGAATGCTTGTTCCTTCTTGTACGGAGCTTTCGACCTCTTCTGTTGAGGATGGTGCGAGGTGACAAGAGGAGAGCTCCCTGGAATCATAGTTACTAGTAATCATGGGCTTTCAACTCCGCTTTCATGACGCTACAGTTATCTCTTACGCAATAAGAGAATGTATAGGTTTAGAAGCATTTAAGTGTTTTTACATTCAAAGCATTCAAGTATTTAGTATTTTTTAAGGGCGCGTGTGGAGCAGTGGTCGGAGGCACCCCGCCACACACACGTGGAAACGATCTCCGCGCCCGTGGCCCACCTAGCCGTACATCCCGCCGGGGTTGGCAAATTGGTACCAAACCAGTCTGGGAGGATAGCAGCACTGACTCCATACATTGGTTGGCCACCGCGAGTCATTGTAAAGGCCAGATATGCATTCAGTCACCTCCAAACAATGCTTAACGAAGTAGAATGCATGGCGCATCCCTCAAGGATTGATCAACGCCAAAAGCTTTATCCTTCTACCCTTTTATAAGTTTAGAATAAAAACGGAAGAACATGGAATGAAGATGAGTGAAAAAATCATGCTACTTGGTTATGTCATCCACATTTCCTTCTCCGACTAGATTCAGCGAGCGAAGTGACCGTGTGTCCTGTTGACGAGCCTGAACGTGAAGCTTTTGTATGGTGAATCGAAGCACATGATTTTTCTTACTTATAAAATCGAAAAACGTTCGAAATACTCTAAAGAAGACGAGCGAGCCCGTCGCAAGCAGAGATGCTATCTTATTTCCATTTGAAGCATATTGATCTTCAACAGCGATTACAAATAGTTAAATTTATGCTTGAAATGTTCAACAGCTAGAAGAAACCACTGTTTTAAAATAATAAGCTACGAAACTTGGTTCTTTTAATAAACTCTTTAAGAATCTAGATGAAGTGGAAAAAAGCTTACCGAATCAGGTGGCGAATTGAGGGAGCGTACGGACTGTCGGTCAGTCTGGCTCAGGCGCTCCATCATATCCTGATACAACTCGTTCCATACCACATCAGCAACTTTCACGCCTTGAATTGGTTCGATGATCTGCACTGTTTTTTTGCCATACAACTGAAAAAACACATCCTGTTTTCTAAGACCGACTTTCTATCAACTTTGGCGTTGACCAAATAGTTAGTTAGTCGGCATCGGTTGATCGCAGTTGATCTCATGCGATTGAAAATCAGGTCTCGCCGTTTCTTAGTTGAGAGTATGGATATGTTTAAGTGACTAAGTTGCGATTAACTTGACCTTTTCAGGCTCTGAAGAGGGCGAAATTCGCCGAAACGGCAGCTACGCTTGTGTTGTATATGTGTTATTGTGTGGAAGTAAACATATGCTGTTTAAAAACCTCGCGATGAGAGAGAAAACGACAAATTCAAAAGGATCGTCAATTAAAGCAGGGTTTGATAGCAACCATGGTAACCGATAGTGAATAGAGAATTAGGTCAACGAGTTGTAAATCAACTTGAGTAAACCTGATTTTGCTGCAGGGCTTCCATAGGGTGGCAAGATCAACCAGATCACAAACCATCTTGAATAAGCCTGATTTTGCTGCAGGGCTTCCATAGGGTGGCAAGATCAACCAGATCACAAACCATCTTGAATAAGCCTGATTTTGCTGCAGGGCTTCCATAGGGTGGCAAGATCAACCAGATCACAAATCATCTTGAATAAGCCTGATTTCGCTGCAGGGCTTCCATAGGGTGGCAAGATCAACCAGATCACAAACCATCTTGAATAAGCCTGATTTTGCTGCAGGGCTTCCATAGGGTGGCAAGATCAACCAGATCACAAATCATCTTGAATAAGCCTGATTTCGCTGCAGGGCTTCCATAGGATGGCAAGATCAACCAGATCACAAATCATCTTGAATAAGCCTGATTTTGCTGCAGGCTTCCATAGGGTAGCAATGTCAACCAGATCACGTCACCAAACTGATTTCTGTTCCATCATTACTATCAATAATGGGATTTGTTTACGGATTTGCTATTTATTAGCCTACAAATGTTACAAAGAAGAAATATCGGCGTTCCGTCTTTTGAGATAAGTATTGGTTTTGCAATCTTAGAACAATATGTGAGGTGTCAAATCAGAATTTTACTAAACCTTTTAAAACTTTGTAAAATAATGTATCCATCCTTGTTTCGTTGATTGTTTACTGCCTAGGTGATATTGCTTTAATCCTTAAAATTGGATATAGCTCTTAAATGGCAAGGCGTTCGCCGTCGCTCAATTCCTTAAGAATACGGTAAAGAAATAGCAGTGGAAACGGCACCATTATAAACATAAATCCACAAATCTACTCCTACGACTCATTAGGGTTCCCCGTATCACAATCGATATAGGTGCCGTGCAATAAACAAATGGTCCTTGGTTCACTCTCGCGACCTGGGCATAGCAAATATTCCATCCCTCCGGAGTCAGAAAATCGGTACCAGAGTTGTTTCCGAAACCAAAAACCTGAATAAATACACCGGTAGGCTTTCGTATTCCATTGATTTAGCCAGATATGCAAGCAATTACCTCTACAATTCTTAACGGAGTGGAACTCATGGCACAAGGGATTAACTATTGGTGAAGTTCTTTTCTTTAAAACTTCTACATGACCTGTGATCACATCTACTGTCCGGATCCCAGTACTTCTTGCATTTAGTTCGTTTTCTCACATTCATCGTGCAGAAAAGTCTCCGATCACTACGGGTGTTCTTTCGATTGCTGATTGTGAATTCCTCCTTCTCCTCTATGAATGTCGTCGAATTCTGGTCGTGTCAATTCTTCTTTCAATCCTGGAGATAGCCGAGCTAGGGCCTTCCCGCGTAGATTGAGACTGGGGGATAGCGTTGCAGGGTCGAACTAGCGCCTTTGCGTCACTACCTACTGCGCTACCTATCCCCTTATTCATAATCACTACAACTGAACACTTATCTTTTACAAGATAAAAAACAGTAAAATCTTCCTGATAAGCTTGCACGAGGTTGATAAATATACTTATTTTCGGCTAACGTTTCGACGTCTTCGTCTTCCTCAGAGCCGGTGATCCGAGTCGATGGTCCCTGCTTGTTGTTCGCCTCGACGTTGCGTCTTCGTCTTCGTGTCGAGCCAGATCTTCCTCAGTGAGCCATCTTCTCGAATGATGGCATCCTCACTCAGTGATGCCCTTTTATACACGATGCTGATGGTGGATATATAATGACAATGTCCGGTGGTAACAACTTGTATTTCTTCCGGACATACATCATTGCGCACATCGTGCAGAGGTCGGTGTATTATCAGCTAGCACAAAGCGTAGTAATATTTCGAAACCGACCTTCCCTAAACCTCGGTGTGACTAATCAATCATGAAAGAATACATATTGATTAGTCACACCGAGGTTTAGGGAAGGTCGGTTTCGAAATAGTAAAATCTTCGTTTTCAATGTTTCATAAAGCGGGTGGAATACGAGGTGAAGACCGTACACAGTGCCCACAACAGTCCTACTTAAGTGCCTTAGTCAAGTGTTCACACGACCTCTGCAACGACCTGACCACGAATGTTTGCACTAAAATTTCAGCACAAGAAGATAGTAAATGAGCGACCGAAACTGGTTTCGTCTCCGGCGATCATTACAAGAAGGTTTCGGAACTATGTAATTCGCAATAATAGAAAGCGTTTATCAATGTCGAAGCACCAATTGCTATTGAAAACATTCAGTCTGTTGCAGATGAATGAAAAGATCACTGACTACGATACGATATCTCTAACTGATTACACCTCTAACATGATATTAAAATCTATGGTCGATATCTAGTACCAGTAAAGAGATGCTCCACTAAACCCTCTCTTCAAGCACATGAGATTTTGGGACCTCATCTTATAGGAAAGACTTTCGGTCTTCATCTAATGTTGTAGTTTCAAATCTCCGGAAAAATGACGACCGACTCTAAAGATAAATGAAGACGCTTTTGGAAACGAAGGCGACAATTCCTGAGTTTGGCCCCTTTTAAAGGACGTCCAGTGAAAAATGCGTCCGTGGGGAATCCAAACTATCAATCTAAAAATGCAGTGGGGCCACCTAACAACTACAAATAGGAAAGCGAAGAACGGTGAATGCTGAAGCTCTCAAAACAAAAAAGGATGAGCGGTAGTCGGTAACGAATGACGATATCTAAAGCGTGCATTGATTATTCACCCCGAGGTTAAATGATGGTCAGTTTTTTTGGAAAATAAAGGATAGTATAAACGTGGATATTTCGCATCATACCCTGCTGTGAAAAATTATGGTAGGCAACAAATAAAGGATAAACGACAATTTTCGACGTTGATCAATCACTTGGGGGCGTGCCATGCATTCGATTCCATCCTTGCAAGAGCTAAATGAAGCATATGTGGCCTATGCAATGACCTTCGGTGGCCTACCAATGTACTCAGTCATTTGTATTCCAAGAAAAGTTTAGTACAAAATTCTCAGGAAGAATGGAGAACTTGATTTGCGCTGTTGAGGACCGAACCAATGACCTTGTGTGCATTGCAGGAGACCTCTAGCCAGCCGCTATGCTGCATGCTTTCTTGTTAATAGCCGAATCCAAATAAGAAGATAGTGGGCGCACCTTTTGCTCGAGATCAATCATCTGCTGGAAGAAACCAACATTCGGACAGATAATGTTGCGGCAGTACTGCACATGCTTGTAGGCGTCATACAAAGACATTCTGAACTAATTTCACATTCAAGCAAATATTTAACGGATTTCTCAGATTAGTTCCTCAAATGTTTAAAAGCTAATCTTTCGGGAGAAAAGTAACATCGAAAGCTGGTTCTTCCGTTACTTAAGAGTTCTAATGCATTTATCGGCAACAACCCTTTTATTTCGGTGTAGACCATTCAAACATTCGAAATTTCTTTTCAAAGTGAAAACATGAATTCTTATTCAAATCCCAACACCTTCCCAAGCAATAAAAACAGCTGAGTTCTTGCATATCCGATTAGAGTTTGGAAGAGCACAGCTATTATGTGGGCTTAGGGAGGAATTAGACTCACTTTTCAATGCACATCAAGTAGGAAATAGCAAATGTGGCTGAACGAGAAATGCCCATAGCGCAAAGCAACAGGACTCGGCCGAGCGACTTCCTTACGCTGTCGATTTCCTGCAATCAGTACGAATAGTGCAATGCGGGTAGGCGCCGTCTACACTGGCAACATGCGCGCTCAGAACCGCAGAAGCAATGATGAGGGGCGTGCCAACTATGAGGGCTGGAAAAGCGCGTGGTCTGCACAAGACCGAACCCAACGTGGCCTCCAGTCTACGAGAACAAGTGGTACAGCGTCTGAGCTACCATCCATTTTGAACTCATCAACCAAATTTGGTAAAGGCCTGTCAGTGATGCGTGCGGATATGATGAGCTGGTCACGCCACTGCACTTTGTACAGGCGATTTTATCGCCGTACTTACCTCAATTCTCCGAGTCCTTTTAGTCCCGAGAAAGTGAGGCGGTCTAATAAACAAGTGATTCAAAATAACCAAAACCGGCCGGTGTTCCGAATAGAGAAGGGGCTTCTGTCTTTGTTTTACTCACGAACTCGTATTTTCCCCTACGTTCATCCGTATTCTTGCAGATGTGTGGGTATTTACGTGTGTATTATTGTACTCTAAATGGTCGTTCACCAAAGTACATCCACCACTAGAGAAATCAACCTAGAAATCGACCATAGCTATAGCAAATCCCTTATCGAACAGCCCACAACGCCACCGAAAAATATTTAATAGCCGAAAGGAGTGAGAAAAATGAGGGGCTTCATGTGATTTGTCGAGCTCATCGGGTCTCTTGGTCGATTGCAGCCTACTGGATAGCTCGAGGGCACGACAGAAGCGAATGGAAAACTTGCTAGCTGGAGATTAACTTTTTCCTGTTGTTAAGAAAAATTGTCAAGGATTAATGGGATTGTTAGTGGTATAGATGATATTAATTTATCTCCTTTTTGAAATAGTCCTAAAAAAACAGCAATCACTAATGACCACTGGATCAATAATTAGAAGCTCGGACATTCTCTGAAGAAACTGAGACATGCTGAATAGCCAGTTGATTTCCTTCAAGGTCGTCTAGAATCAGATTCTAGTAAAGACTAGAGTTTTCCTAATATTTCCTAGAAAAAAATTCGTTCTTGCCTCTGGAATTCAAACAATATCTACCTTGAAAACGATAGTAAAATAGGGCGACAAATCAGTCGACTCGTCATCTAGTAGAGGGATGTGCAGCACTTTCATATGTCCGGGGGCTGTGATGCGAAATCCAGGAATCAGATTAATGGTTGTACAGAATCGTGCTGAAAAGCATTTTTCTTCTTTGTAGAAAAAACGAAAGCTCTTGCCATTTCATATAATGGACTAGTCCATATCTTTTTAACTCTGCCTTGCTCAGACAGGAGTACTTCTTAAGGTCGTAATCGTTTGTCCAATTTTACGGTGATTCTTAAAAGAAAGAGAAAACCAACTAACTTCACAAGCTTGTGAATTTGTAATACTTTTCTCTGGCCGGCTAAGTGGAGTGTTTGTTGTTAACTTTTTTCTAATAATATCAACACTTATTTTGGCCCGATCTCAGTGAACGAATATTACAACTGGCTATCAAAGATGGAGCACATAAGCTTCCAGGGCATGTCCTACCGAAAAATAAAACAGCATGCTATCACTGTGTAATCTGTCAAAGAAAAGTGGTTTGCAGAATCCGAACTGTCCTAGCTGTTAACCTAGGACTAAGTGTAGAGAAACAAGCAGTTACCATAGTTCAATTCAAGATTTCAGACACACGCACTGGACCATTTAAGCCAAGCAAAATACCTACACCACAGCATTTCTGAAGAGACTCCCATCACGAAAAATGAATGCGGATATTGACCTACAGCTAGCAACTTTCCTCTTTGCACACAAATCGTGGAGCTCAGTATCGGTCAGCATCCGGCGTGGATATATGTACTGCGTGTGTTGATTCCTGCTAGTGGCCATAATTGCACGCAGAGCTTCCGTCGTCTCCCATGGATCACCGTTTCCCTACCTCAGTTCGAACTTCTATACAAGCTGATCTCTTTGTCTGTGTTTACTCAATAGTCGTAGCAACTACGACTAGCTATGACTCACATTTGCCTGTATTACCGTTGCTGTATGCTATTTCGTCTAAGGATCAATTTCTTTTCGAGAACAACTTCTATAAATTGCTAACAGTTACACCATTTTTTAATCAAGCCATTGTCCTGCTCAACTAATCCGAGCTTAGTCCTTCTAGGACATCAATATTTTGCAGTTCTTCCTTTTTTTGGTTTCACGAGGGGTTGTTGAAGTACTGAAACATCTATTTATCTCCCAGAATCACGCAGTGCTGCTGAAGCTGAAAATGAAGCCAGATGGGTCCCGTGCTTAAAGAAATTGAGGGCGTTTGTGTTGACTTGAAATGCGGATTACAACAATCAGCCGCGTAGATTGCCCAAGTTATTAGTTGCGCGTTGGTGGTCGACTTTGTTCGAAATTTGGCAAAATCCAATGACCGCAAAAGCTCATTCAACGGACCGGATGTTTATGAAGACATACGACGGGCACTACCTGCCCATTATCGACGTCCATGTCTAATGCGCTCACGCCACACTGCTCTCTTTTTCTCTAAAAAGAGGACTTTCCATTATATTGAAGCCGAAACTGGTCCACTCTACCAAATAACGTAGCGATTATTTCTCGTTTTTCCACTGCCGCAAGTGATCACCACCTCATATACAGTCGAATTACGACAACTTTACCTTGATACCTAACCCTCGTCTGATTTGTCTCAGAATCTCGTGGATATTCAGGGGTGTCTTCCAAGAAAATTAACTTCGTATATGTATTCTTACTTTGATGAGCTTACACGAGGTTTTTGTAAGCTCATCAAAGAAAGAATACATATTGATTAGTGATACCGAGGTTCAGGGAAAGTCGGTTTCGAAATATAACTTCGTATACTTTTTGACATTTTTCAAATACTTAATCAAACACAAAAAAAATGTGTCAGTTAGGTGCAAATATTCCGGATGTTTAATATTTTTTTTAATAGCCAAGGCTTCAAATCATGTTCCTATAACAAATGTACTGAGTGGCCTCCTAGGTGGGTGGAGAGCACAGCAGCATCCAAATACTTGTGGAATCACAAAAATGAATCTATGAGATATTTCATAGCTCAACTGGTCAGCATGTGATTCTATCGTATCTCCTGGAAAACTCCACAATATCCCTAGGACCAAAAAACCGCCAGGCATCTAATTTATCCTAAGAAATGCATCTATTCTTAGCATTCTACCATTGACATCAATGCAGCCCATTTCCCAAATGAGTGTGACGTTCGTATTCTAGATCAGAACGGCTTTTTCTTATTGTTTAATGGAAACTACTAGGAAAATCCCATTAACAGTCCACTAATCAAAGGAAATAACTTGAAATTTTGCAACTTTCTAAAGAAATATCTTTCTAAGTATCAATGATCTTCCTAAACATAAAAGAGCATTGTATCTATTCATCTGCTTAAATTTATACAACAAAGAATTTAAATTATTCTAACTAGCAGAGAAACAGGCGAAACGAAGGACCCGCATGGTGTGGTGGTGAACGCGTTAGCTCCCGGAAATGGTAATAGCGCGTTCGTTCACCACCGCACACACCTGTGGTCCGGATTTCTGCAAATATCTCAGCATTATTGTGGTTAAATTATTCTCGTAATTCCAGTCTATTAATGCGTCCATCAATGGAATAATTTCTAAACAAGGGGAAAAATTAAAGAGCAAGATATTCTAGTTGTCATATGATGGTTTGGAAACGAATATGAGCTAGAGGCATTCTGCCTGGTCACTTGTCGTGGTGAACTTTCTTTTCTTTTGGTATGGAACCAAAGCCCTATTATTTTACGGTTATGGCACAGTTTTACTGTAACGAATTCCAGGAAAAGTCTCACAAAGCGTCCTCGGCGACAGCGCTGCCAGTCCGCCGACGTAGAGGAACGGCCGGATCTGCGAACACTGTCGTGACTCGCGGCTGATCACTCGTCGAGTCGTCATGCCGTCGTCGACGCCTGTCGTCGCCGTGCTGGTTCTGCTCGCCGGCTTGCTGCAGCACTCGCTCAGCCTAAAGTGCTACTCGTGTTCCTTCTCCTTCAACGAACTCTACGATCTCGATCATAGGTATACGATATCAAATACACGTAATTGCAATTTCAACAGCTTGGATTAATTCTGCACAATTCTATCAAACACTCATAGAATGATCCTTTCTATCTAACACTCGTTCACCGTTTTTCAAGAAGATTTCTTACACGTGGTCTTCAAACCTACTTCTCAAGTCCAAAAAGGAGGCTGACCCACTCATCGCAAATAGGGGTCCGCTGCAATGCTTTTGCTATGTGGGCAAAGATTAAGTGGTAGCTTCCACTTGGTATGAAGCCTTTACTGTATTTTTACCTTATCGCATAAAGTTTTTAAGAGATTTTAAAAATAAGCAGGCCAATGAATTCCTCCCGACTGGTACATTTCGATGTTAAAATTTCCCACTCTCTTATTATTTTTAAAATATCAGCTGGATATCTAAACTGCAACAATTTTTCTCATACCTGCTTCATACAGGCCCGTGTGGCGCAGTGGTTGGAGGAGCCCTGCAACACACATGTGGAATCGATACTCGCGTCTATGCCCATCAAGCCCTCCATCTTCCGGGGTCGGCAAATTGCTACCAGACTTGTCTAGCAGGATAACAGCACTGGCTCGATACATCGGTAGGCCACCGCGAGTCATTTTGAAGGCCAGATATACAATCAATCACCTTCAAACGATGCCTAATGAAGTAGAATGCATGGCGCACCCTCGAGGATTGTTCAACGCCAAAAGCTTTACCCCTTATCCTTTATGTGTTTCATATTCAAGGTGTAGTGAATTTAACAGATTTTCTTCCCATTCGGCAAAATCTGTGGAGACGATCGCCGAAAAATAAAGGGAAATCTCGACACGATTAAGTTAAAAGAGTAGCAAGATGTAAGTGAACTTCAATAGGGTCACACAACATGTCAGTATGCAGAACTGTCACACCCAGTTTAAAACCGGTTAGTAATACATACTAAGGTAAAACTACAGTAAACACTACACTTTCAAAATCCAGTCGTCCATTCTGTGCAGACAGGTTCATATTAAGCTCAATTGAATGGTACCAACCCTGTGCTCACTTTAGATCAATGGTTAAGAAATCGGTTATGTAGAATTGACCCTTGCGTTTACAATGCCTGTGATCGAATGTGGAGATTAGGTTCTTGTGGTAAATGCAATTCAAGTGTTCCGATTAGGATGTTTCTACGAAAAGAACTCACCGTATTACTGTCACAGGGATGCGTGGTGCGCGAACGAGTCACTGGTGTTGTTCGACACAGATGAGACCTCGAAGTCGTGCGCCCCTTGGGAAAAATTCTGTGTGGTGAGAGATGTTAACAGATTTTAAGAGAGGATAGAGGAAAAGATGACACAGAGTGAGCGAGTTAGGAGGTATGGGAACAAAGCTATCTCGACTCGGTGACACTGGACTGGAGAACTACACTTCTCCGAACTTGTGCCAATAAAACTCCACCGTCTATGTGGGGCTCATGTTGAATCCTTTCCATGTTTCCTCGAAGAAATCAGATAACTTAAGCAACTAGGAGATCTACAGCCACACACAAAAGGGTATATGAGAAATTTGCTCGAACTGAATGCTTCTAGACTTTTGCTCTATGGCTTAAGATATCAGGCGAATTTCGTCACTGATTTCGAATTTTGACGGCAGTCTCATTCTCAGACATATTCGTCCAGTGTCACTGTGCTTGCGAAGATGAGATAAGCTAACAGTGAGCTTTGCAGACTGCAGTGACGACCATCAATAAGGCGTTCACATCGGTGACACGTGGATGTGGTGAACGTTGCTCTGAACTTTGCGAATCCATCGGATACGGTCACGACCAGGTACAGTATCCCTCCATCACTTGTTATTAAACTTGATTCAAGTCTTCGAATATTTCGCACGATGTTGCTGCTATTCGGAGATCTGGTCATTCAAAACATGTTTTCAACGGCAACACGCGCAAAGTCAGCTTGAACAGCAAAGAGAGTCATTTTCTGACTTTGAGTAGAAGCTAAAATAAGACCAACCGGTCATGATGTTCTTTCTTGCATGCAAGGCGTACCGGTAGCGGAACACCGATTCAATCAACAATGAACTATCAGTTTAAGGATTCTGACTAGTGACTACGACTTCCCACAATAGAACGAGTTTTATCATGTCCCGATGAATTCTCTAGATAAAACGGTTGGGCACTATCCACAAATGAATTCTCGGCGAAGATGAAGCGACTTTTCAATCGAAATTTTTGAAGAAAAAGTAAGCGACTAGAGCGAAAATTACATGAGGACACGCAACAACGATCGAGAGATATGTCAGGATCCCTTATAGGCTAGAATAGATCAAATGATTTCTCGCAGTAGAAGACAAGTGCACGAAGTTTTCAATGAGACATTGAAATCGCACTCTATCTGATAACCCGTTGATTTCGTATCCCTCTTATACACAGGTCAACGAAAAGTTGATTAGAGTTTTTCGTGATGCATACAAACATGAACTTTCAAGACTGGCAACATTTGACGAAAACTGACCTTAATGCTAAATATTATTTGCTAACATTTCGCGAACAAAACGGCCTGATTTCGGCCAACCAGCCACGACTCGTGGCTGAAGCTGTGGTGAGTGCTGAGGCCGACTGATCTTAACCAGGACGACTATTTCGTGAATATTATTGGGCTTTGGTGCCGAATCTTTTGCACAATAAATTCACTCTGATGCTGTAATTTTCAAGGTGAACTGCGATGACTGCTGTGAGGAGGACCTATGTAATTCGAACTTTTCTGTGCAGTACTACCAGGAGATGATGAGCCGACAATATACTTCGTGGTTCATTCCGTTGCCCGGTGAGGTCAACTGGAACAGAAAGCACAAATATAGGTTTCCTTACTAAGTTTTCATCGTCACTATTGCATTACTTTAAGAAAACACAATGGTGGTTTCATATTTTGTTGCTATTCTATTCTGTAGCACTCACCTACCTTTAATAAATGTTTGGATATATGGGTATTTTAAAAGAGTGAGCTGTTTTATTCAAGCCACAAATTGTTTGAGGATTTGAAAATCGTTTTCTTAATTAAAAATTCTCATTGTAGAATGAAAAACTTCGGATTGCGAGACAGGCGAAACAAAGAACCCGCATGGTGTGGTGGTGAACGCGTTATTCCCCGGAAAGGATAATAGCGCGTTCGTTCCCCACCGCAGACACCTGCGGTCCGGAGTTTTAAAAATATCTCAACATCATTGAAGTTATATTTCGCAATATACCCTGCCATTAAAAAAGTGTAGGGAATAAATAAAACGATTAAGAAAGTTCGGAGTCTTCATTCTAGGCATGAATAGGGTTAGGAAAAGTAGGAAAGGAGCACGCAGCCGAACTCCCCCTAGAGCCAGTATAGTAGAACAGCCGTTTCCAAAAAATGAGAAAAACAATGAAATGTGGGTATAGGCAGAAGTGAAGCAAAATATTAAAAGGGACAAAAGAAAACGGTATTGGCTTTACGAGCACATTATTAGCGGTGAGAAGCTGGAAACAGTGGCGATAGGTGAAGCACCGGCACTGCTCATTTATTCCTCGTGGTGGTTGTGGCATTCGGAATGCCCGCCCCTGTCGCCATATGCCCAGAGGGCAACGAGAGCAACGGGGCCAGAGCTTGAGGGCTTCACACTGTATAACACGAATTCAGAGTCGTGGCCCGTTCCCCACATTCGCTCTACATCTCTCACTTGGCTGAATTTATGAATAAATCCAATCCATGATTCCACGTTAGCTGAGCAACCGTTGTGGCAAAAAAATGGCTCTACATGATATATTACACTGCCGTTTACGACGCAATCCCGATAGTCCACGGAAATATCGCTTGACATTCCGTTAATGAACAGTTAAAAATGGAGGCTTGCAGAAAAAAGTAATTCAATTTTAGTTGCGTTCAATCTTAAACCGAAATTAACATTTTACTTTGTTTTCACTGTAAATGACACTTTCTAATGACATCGAACATTTTCATCGGAAGTACACCATAGTAAACTTCACTCTTCCAGCTATTATTTTTCGACGACTATTGTTATGTCGAAATTAAATCACCTTTGGCACTGGTATGTAGAAAACTACCTGAGAGAAACGCAGAACAAGGGCCTCTGTGGCGCACTGTGTAATGCGCGAGCTCCCGGAAAAGGAAGTAGTGGTTCGAGCTAGCGCAGGGTCCAACTTTTGCGAATATCTCAGCATCGTTGTGGTTAAAACTTTTATAAGTCGATTACAAACGGCCATTATTTTTCGTATTTAAGAGTCCTTTATGGCGTAATTTTTCCACCTTTTCCTTTTCGATGTCACCTGTCCGTAAACATAAACGCTTGTGAACAGAAAAAATGTGTTAGGCTTTCTCACGACTACATTCTTTTCTTGTCCAAACAAATGTTGGCTTCGCTATGAAATGAATAACTTGTACATCTGTGGGAACAAAATGCTCTTAACAAATTAGGCAAATTTGCTGCTTAAAACTCCGACTAGCGATTCGAGTTCATAATGTGAACATAATGGCTTCGGCGACGTGACAGGTTCGAGCTCAGACGTCCATGGGGAGTTGGTCCATTAGTCGCTCGTTTCGATCCGCCACTACCCCACACTTCACCAATTGGCGTCAGAAGCAGTCGATCTACGGTCATTTGAGAGGACCAAATTACGTACACCAAGACTAATAACACTAGCATTAACTGGAGAAAATTCTGCAGTCAGAAAAACGAAATCAATTGGATATGCGGACATCAAGGTGACGGCAAGATTGGTCGGTGGTAGAGTCAAGCGTATTTGTTCTCAGAACTGTTTCAAGGAGAAGCGACGAAAGAGTTCTGTCCTGTCACGAAAAATCGGGTTCACTGAAAATTCCAGAGCGGATCGTATGAGCAACGTAAGATTCCCAAGCGAGCATAGGGAATGATAGAGAAAGGTGCAGAATATAGGAGATGACGAAATGCACCATCATAAAAATGTAGAAATTTTCTGGTGGCAACGGGTTGTCCTGTTTTCACTCGAAAGGATTGTTAATTGTCGTCGATGTGGGGTTAACTAGGAACGAAAACCCCATTTTACAATATTGGAATACAATTTTCGCCAGTTATCCCTCTTTTTAAAATTCCATTTTAAACTATGTTCTCATAAACGCCACTGTCATAAGCTGTCAAAAGTTGTTTCCCTCTCATATTCAGAAATTTGTGAGTAATAAGAAAGTTTGTCGAGGAATTCGAATAAGGCACAGTGTGACGGGAAAGCATGCGAATGTTTCGGATCGCGCATAGCCAACGGACTGCTTTAACAAAAACAGAGAGGAAAAGCTCAGTGTTCTAGGTTTAAATGGTCGTCAAAGTATTCTAGCGCTCTAGGTAACCGTTTTTTCCACAGTTCTCACACGAGGGGTCTTGATTAACATAGACTTCTAATTGGAAAACACGAATGAAAAGCTTAAGCGCAGTAAGATGACCGACGGTGTTGGTTTGAGAATCCCCAGTTTTTAGACTTCAATTTCTTAAGCTGGCGCTGAGTTGCCCAATTTCTCAGCAATGCATTGAAATCGGATGAAAAAACTCGGGAACAAAAACATGGCAAGAACGGAAGATTTGTACAGAAGTCACTTGAATGATCAGAAAATATATCGATCTTTGCTGGAGGAGAGTTGGTAGCCCGGTCGGCAGTTGCGTTGACAAGAACATCTAGAGTACAAACGGTAAACATCAAGTGAGTGAGCGAGGAGGAAAGTGGTGAGTTCGGCAGACGGATAACTCAAACGAAATCGTGACAGTGGTATCTCAGCGGCTGTGGCGTGACAGCAGTTGTGCACATGCGAGGCGAAATGTGAGCACCGAAATGCGGTTTGTTGCCTGGGAACGGGCGACTAGGAAGCACGACGTGGTCCAGGAATGAACGGTTTTAGGTGGAGGGTGAAGCGAGCTGAACGAGTTCAAAGGCGGGACAACACAGATTGCTTGACTCACCGACAGAGACCTGAATGGTAGAGGAATGAGTTAGAGAATAGCTGTAACACTTACAGAGAAGTACGACAGTACTGGGATACTGAGGAGGGAAGGTGCCACGGTTTCCAACTGTAAACGATTCTATGGTTTCCTAGAGTTTCTAAGAATACTATTTCTTTCTCTATTTTTCAGTAGTCTATTCGAATTGTTAGTGTAAAATCGAGCCTTGAAGGCAACCCGATAGAGCTGTCAATCAACGCTGCTTGGAAAAGACGCCTTTATCATTGTGAAAAATCACTACCTCATTCCGTTTTCCCTCGTTTTCCCTCTTTGCTTCCCTCCAATTATGAAAGAATCGCCTCTTTTGCTCTGTCCAACACCCAATGCCATTGCCGTTTGGTGCTCATTTGCAAACCCGTTTGGCTTTCAAATATGAAATTTGAGAATGTCTCGGTCGAAGTAAAAAACGGGCAGGCAAGTTGGAGTTGAAAGTCTTACATCGTCGATATGAAGTTCCGTTGGCAACATGGCGAGTTCGCTAATACTGAATATTTTGGGGAAAGATTTCAAAGGAGTTAGATTTGTAGGAAAAGCTTCTTGCAGTGAGAGGAGTCGATCGAGTCGTCGTAGCGCTCCCGGCAATTCTCAGATAAGATAATCTGATCAACTGTGAACGTTTAGCAAATTACGCGTCGTCGACTCGACTCGAATCGCTTGGACTTGGACCTGTCAAACGGCCATAGGAAGCTCTGTCTTTGCAAAGACTTATTTCTCGTTCTTTTCGTTGAGAAAAATGAAAGTCTTTCTTTGCTTTCCATCTTTCACCAAAACACTTCAATAATGTAGTCATTACATTGAATTTGCCTCATCACGTTAGCATTAAGGCAGTTGATGCGTATTTTACATCGGAAGGACATTCGTCGACCGGCCCACGCATAGATCAGTACCTATTTCTTTCTTATCGGGTTGGTTAAACCCGCCAATGAGTGGTTCGAGCTTGAGAATCAGGACTATCACTAAAAGCTTTAGATGTTTTAAGCGCTTTGATTTCTTTAAGCTAACATCGCCAAAGGGATACACTGATAAGTACTTGGAGAGATTCACTCCATGTGCCTCGTATCACTTGGTGTAAGTCGGGTAGTTCCTCAGCTCTAGAGCATATAGAGTTCTCAGATGTAGCAATTGTACTTTGTCGGTGTCATGAATTTAACTGTAAACGGCAAAAATTGTAGAGAAGAAGAAAAAATGCGACGAGTCTGTTATGTTATAGTTGGTGCTACTACGAGAAACGGTCACGCAACGTGGAATTCATGGGTGTCAATTTCTAACATTTGTCTCACCGTAATGGTGTGATAGAAAAGTGTCGTAGTTGGAAAGACATTGGCGTAGAACTCACAGATAATGAGCTCTATTCCTAATCTCTAAGCGCAGTATGCATGATATCTTATTCTACTGAGGTTTATTTAGCGGCGTACGGCATATTTCGATAAGTTTAGCCTTATCCTTTCGCATCTTCAACCATTTTGCCATTCCAAGCAATACATTGTATGATCCAACCAACCAGTTTTCTCTCTGAATAAGTGGTGACGTGTTTGGTGATGTCTGTCTTTCCGCTCTTTCAACTCGTATGCTACGATGAGGTACTATCCTACGCCATCCCACGATGGCGCTCTGTATTGTGTTATTCTTCACCCTAAGTTTGTTAGGTAAATTATCCCATTTTAAGATAGCTTTATGTTTTGTCCTTTTAGTTATTTTTGATAGAGTAAGATTATGTCAGGAAAGAATCTCCAGCAAAACTTTTAGATAAGATCGGCATTCGGCATTATTGCGTTTATAACCACTCCTCCTTTTCCCCAGTTACGGCATATGATTATGCCTATTTTTAAGATGAATCAAATACAACTCAAGCAGCCCCGTTGGGTG